TAAAGTTGACGCTCGTATCAATGCTTACTGTGACGCTTTTGAGTCACTCAAACAATCATTCTACGAGGAACGACAGCTTAATACGGACCTGGTGGTAGCCCGGGTATTGGATGTTGTACAACGATCGGGTAAGTGGTCAGAAATGCACAGTTAGGCTATTTGAATCAATGGTGTTCACAGCAATCAAGGCAGACTTGAGCGATATGCTCTATTCCAAAGGCTCTGCGATGGATGATGAAGACAAGGCGTGCTTAGATGGAACTCGCACCGGTATCTTAAATACCGCCACGAACTGGGTGAATTCAAACCCACCCGAGCCCCCCGAGTCCTCTGAGTCCCCCCAGCCCCACCAGAATGTGCTACTTCTTATAGGTGAAGCTGGGACAGGCAAATCGGCGATTGCACACAGCATGGCACAGCGTTTCAAAACGCTTGGTCGCCTCGGATCATCCTATGGCTTTGTTCGTAACACTCCTAATCGCGATTACAAGCATTTATTCCCGACAATCGCTCGGAACATGGCTGATTTTGACGAGGATATTAAGGAAGCGTTGTGGGAGAAGGTCGGCCACGATACAGCGCTTCGGACTACAGAAAGTCTCAAACAGCAGTTCGAGAATTTCCTGCAAAAACCCTTGGAGAATCTCACCGTTTCTGGGCCGATTCTCATTGTCATCGATGCTCTGGATGAATGTGGCAACTCATCTGACGTAAGAAAACTTGCGTCGATTATCGTCACCCACTCCCGGAAGCTTCCCTCCTGTGTTCGCCTCTTCATCACGTCTCGCCCCGAAAAGCACATTGTCAATGGGTTTGAGGGTGTCAGTCACATTCGCATCGAGCGTATGGATGCAATCCCCGATGATTTCACGTTGAAAGACATCAATACGTTCATTCAGTCGCGCTTGATGGAGAACATACAGATTGATGGTATAGGCATTGAGCAATGCAAAAAGCTAGCATCCACGAGCCAGAACCTTTTCCAATGGGCGTTCGTTGCATGCAAGGAAATCGCGGAACCACCGATTGGACGTACTCCAGACGAGCAGTATCGTAAACTGGTACAATCGGGTTCTGGTGTGGCTCAGGACCGGCTTCTTGATTACCTGTACTCCGAAGTGCTAGGCGCGTTGTTCCCCGAGAACGACACTGTTGGCATGGACAGATTCAAGTCTGTGCTTGGAGTGGTATTGGCCTTGTTTGAGCCCCTCACCCTGACGGGCATCAAAGCCCTCCACACGACTCTCATACGGCCGGACGAAGTCTATAATGCTGGGACGATCCTCCAGTACCTAGGATCCTTGCTGAGCGGCGTCATGGACACAGACGTTCCCATACGTCCCCTACACACGTCTTTCCGCGATTTCTTAGCCGATCTGAAAAGGAGCAAGGATTTCTTCGTTGACATAGCTGACGCACACCAAAGAATTGCGCGTGCGTCCCTGTGTGTTATGAACGCAGAGCTTGTCTTCAACATCTGCAAGCTCGAGTCGTCGTATGTGTTCAATAAAGAAATCCCTGACTTACAGAAGCGCATCGAGAAGTATATTCCCCACCATCTCTCATACTCTTGCCGGTTTTGGGCCCGTCATCTGGATATCGCCTCACCCGTTGGGATTAACACGTTCCTTGACCATCGGATTCGAGAGCTTTTTAAGAAATTTGTCGATGAGAACATCCTATTTTGGCTAGAAGTACTCAGCATCCTCGGTGGTGTCTCTCCGGCTTTCTCAGCCCTCGCAAATGCTGCACGGGTGCTGAATTCGGTTGGTACACGACGTTTATCGAATGTAATTTGAGACTAAATACCCCATTCAGGACCAATCCCGAACATCGAATGATAACTTGATCGGCTGCATCAACGATATCGAAACATTCGTCGACGTGTTTGCACAACCGATCTCCCAGTCAACACCTCACATTTACATATCCGCCGTGCCATTCTCGCCTCGAGGTTCCTGGATTTCAAAACAATATCTGCCGCGGCTGCGGAGGACACTGCGGGTCTGCAACGCACTCGAATACTGGCCAATTGTCCGGGGTGTAATTCAACACAATTATCAGATTGACCATATTGCAATTTCTACCGACAGTGCTCGTATCGCAGGGGCATGCAACAGCATCTTACCAAATCTTATTGTATGGGACGCTCGTACAGGTCTGGTAAATTATGGACCGTTGGAATGCGATGATCATGTGCGGTGCGTCGCATTCTCTGCGGACGGTGCCCGAGTTGGCTATATCCTCGAGAACGGGATGATAGGTATATGGGAGATTGAAAGTGGGAGTACCCAGATGATCGTTCAAATCAACCCCAATCATGAGTCCGTGGAGAGTCGGGCTACATGTCTTACATTCTCCCCTGATGGTAGGAAATTGGTCGCAGGCTCATCGGACGGGGCAATCCGCAGCTGGGACACGTCGACTGGACGTGCAACAGGCACTATTCTATACCAGTTGACGTCTGAGTGCCTCTCCGTTTCCTTCTTGTCAGACGATACTCTCATCGCATGTGGATCTACCCCCGTATCATTCGAGTTTTGCCGGTGGGACGGAGGGATTCTCCAGCGACGTCTACAAATCGAAGGCGAGCGTCCTTTGGGGATGTCTTTGGACGGTAGATATATCATCACCGATTCACCGCATGATACCATTTGTGTGAGGGGATTGCCAGAAGGCACTCTCGTCGGTATCCCAGTCACACCTCCCTCGCAGATATGGCGGATTGCTTTTTCTCACGATGGCAACCACTTTGCATCAGTTGGACCTAGTAACACCGTGGCCATCTGGGATATCAGTCCGACCGGACCTGTCCTCAACGTCTCTCTCCCCGGACACACGAAAGAGATGACAGGCATCGTGTACTCCCCTGACGGAAGACACGTCTTCTCCTGTTCTTCCGACAGCACGATCCGGAAGTGGGCTGTGCACGCAATGAACACGCCAGATTCCATTCGTAAATACGATGCAAAACCTTTTCGTGTGCACGTTTCACATGATGGATCTCGTATCGCCTCTGTGTCGAAGGACGGATCGGTTGATTTGTGGGATGGCACAACTGGAAAGACCATCGGCGAGCGCTTTCAACTGGGAGGGGACGTTTATGATGATGAGATCCGTGGCTCCGCAATTTCACGAGATGGTACACGCATCATGGCCTACTCCAAGAAAGGGAGGGTTTATGTATTAGATTTGAACTCATGCAAGCAAACACACCGATTTCTTAGCAGCGGCTTCTACAGCCAGACGTCTGGTGGGATATTCTCGCCAGATGGTAGTCGAGTCTATATTGCATCTGAGGATCGGATTCATACCATTGACGTGGATTGTGTGGAGGATCCATCTACTTGGAAAGCATTCCCCGGGATTACTTTCTACGGCCCACCAGTGATCTCACCTGACGGAGCACAATTCGCTGTCTTATCCAAGGATGCGGATGAGGTGGTTGTGGACTATAAACACAGTTTCTTCCCCGATATCAGGGAGAATCGCAATACTGTACGGATGTGGATACTAGATTCCCAAACTCTCAAAGAGGTTTATCCCCCGATCAATCTGCACAATGACGGGCGCATGGACAGCTGGTGCATCTCTCGCGATTTATGCTATGTCGCCTACCACTGCGGACGTGGCTTACAGGTCGTGGGCACTCAGGGCGGACGTGGCATACGGGTCATGAGTATTGAGGGCGGAGTTGCTCGAAAGCAATCACTGCTTGTCTACAAGGCCTTGCCGCCAGATCATCTTGTGTTCTTGACGTCTACCACTGGGACCTATCTGGCAGCATCTCACCATTCGGACATTGTTATCTGGGACTTGGTGTCCTGCACACCTATCGTAGCTCCTCTCAGACACTACAAACACAACTGGAACACAATGGACATGGAGTGCCCACAGGATGGACAGCGGCTGGTGGCGGGATATTCGGAACAAGTACTGGTATGGGATGTATCCGTGCCATTTAATGACAGCCACTTGAGAAGTACGTTGTGCTTCAAATCTATATCGTGTCAAAAGCTCATATACATTGTAGCTTATGACAATCCAACTGCATTCTCCTCGGGAACCCCACATGTTTTACCGCCATCGGAAGGAGACTCTACTGTCTTGCCGAACATGGCTCCACCTGAAGACGTTAAGATGACACAGGACGGATGGATGCTAGACCCAGATTCGCAGCGCCTGTTCTGGGCACTGCCTGAGCTTCGAGAACGGCTATGCATGAACAGGCTGGAGCTGAATCTGACGGCGGGAGAAGAGTCTATCAAGCTTGATCTCAGCCGGTTCGTACACGGGCCGAGGTGGTCGGAATGTTACTCTTGAGTGATAGGTCTACTTTATTCGGCACAGAAAAACCATGTGTACATACTGCGCCGTTGCATCCACAACTTTCCTACCAGTCCTTTCTCACGTCAACATGTGCGCCATTTTCCTGAGTAATTTGACCTCCCTTGCCTGCCAGTGGTATATTCCTAGAATATACGGGTGGCCCTGCCTGAAGATGTTGCGTGCTGAATAACCGCACCACCTTTCAAACACATGGACATAAGCGGTAGAGGTTTCCAAAATTCCAGGGCGAGCCGACTGGCAGCTTCCCTCCAGATCCAAATATCCAAAACTGCTACACAGAAGTTCTGCCAGTGGGAAGGGACTTTTTCGATATGTATCACTAACTGACTCATCAAGACATTCTATCGTCTCGCCACGACGATTATTTGAGATTGAGGAGCCACTCGCCGTTCTAGGCAATACCTGTCTCAGCATCGGCGAAATCTTGACTCGGATGTGTAAAATCCCGACCATGAACAAAGAATCAAGGGACATCGGCACATCTGAAGCATACCCCCTCTTGCATACCCTTGCTCGTAATTCGTGAAAGGCGTAGCTTCAGATCCATTGCAATTGAACGCTAATCATGATGGGCGCAGGCCTGGAAATCCATACAAAATGCACTGTTGCTGAGTTTCTGATAATGATTAAATATTTGACTTCGCATGTAAGCATTCGTGGTGTATCGGTAACATTGGGTCTTCCCAGACGACAAAATTTGCATGGCCTAGCACCGGGTTCGACTCCCGGCGGATGCATTTATTTTTCTTTACCATTCTGCTATACTTATTACCTCAGAGTTTCAGACCTAAGGCTCCAACCCTTTATTTTACCTTTGCACTGATGCCGTTAAAAAAGAGAAAGGGTTGTAAATAGTTTATAAAGAGTAAACAGTAAGTTTGCAACTAAGTCACATTGTTTTTCAACTGAAGGGTGCGTGGAATACAGAATGATTTTCCTAGAGTATCGCTGATGTTTTTTCTGGTTTTACATGTCAATGCTGCATTACCGAAGTATCTCTCAAGTCAAGAAAGCGGATGTGACTTCGCGAGTCAAGCGTCCATAAGCGCCCCATACGGGCGCTTCCGCGGTCTGTAAGGCTCACTGGCAGCATTGAACGGTACAATCCTTAAGCTCAACTCACACAAAACTGCGGTATCGAGTCCAGGATAAGTCATGTAATTTTATGTTGATGCATATTCCAATATGCAGGACCTGCATTATAGCCCCTGTAAATACTCTTTATTAAAAGGGTTGGAGCCTTACTCAGACCTGATAACAGAATTCAAGAAGATTCAAGAGTGCCCGACGCCCGTTTGTGAGACTCGAGTCACTCGACGGGAGCCTGAGACACTATGGATTTTGGAAAAGCCCCTGGGGCCCGCAAACGCGCCGTTTGTGACTCTGAGGCTGGGCTGTAGCGAAGCTCCTGGCTGGAAATCAGGGCAGACATTTGAACAATATATTCATCGCAAGTCGGGACACATTAAATAATAAGATATACGGCCAGCGAAAGACAACCACCATCCATCCTCCAGCGACACCGAGTCAGTCGGGTCGCATTCCAGCCCATCCGTATCAAGGACAGTGTAAAGAACGGCATCGTGCTTCTAGCATGATGAGGGTCGCCATTTGGAAATATGCAAGGGACAGCGGGTATGAGTCTGTGAGTAAAGACAGCGATGCATAACGATACAGCAAGTGTGGTAAGGAAAACCAGGGGTGTAAGGTTATCGTGTCGTAGGCATCAGGGGAGATAATATATCGTGTGGTCTGTCGTGTGCTTAGAGCTTCTCAGTGATGGCAACCGTAAAGTCGCGGAAGTACGAGCTCTGCGTCTTGGGAGAGGCAAACTTCGTATCCGAACCTGAACACGGAATTTGAGTACAAGCAGTAATTGTAGGATGAGCTGCAATTTACCTCCGAAGAATGTCTGCATCTGAATACCTCTGATCCTCCCATCGTCACTATCGCGCAGAACAAGCCCGCCAACATTAATGACGCTTTGCCCATTTGCCCAGAGCTCGAGCTCGCCATTCTGCTGGCCGGCATCGTTCAAGCGAATGCGCATGCTGACGGGGTTGGACTTGCCGGCTTCGAAAGTGAATGAGCCACGGCCGACAGAGGCACCGTATTCGTCATTGCACGTGGAGAAAGGGGGAATGTTGCATACGTTGTCGTTGGCGTCATAGGCAGGAGGGAGGTAAGTGTACATCTCGCCGGCACCCTTGGTACGCCACATCATACGAGACGAGAAGCACCGGTTGTCGCGACGTCCGCCCGAGCAGCTAACAGCAACATCATCACTGTCTCCACCATCTGAGGCAGTTGTCAGTCGGTGTCACGTATACTGATAGATAAGACGGATACTCACAGATACCGGGGAGTTTGCCTCCAATGTTAAAGTCAAACCCGTCCTCGAAGAACACGGAGTATCCCAATGTGACTTCCTTGGCTGTCGTAAGGTCTACGTTACTCGGACCGGGGGCATAGAATGAAAAGCCGCCTTGAGGGTCGTGCTGGAAGTTGTACGATCCTTCGGGGTAGGTCGCCTTCATGGAAAGCCGACCGTCCGGAGCGTTAACGTAGCTGTGAGACAGCGCGCTCAGGAGATCGAAAGGGTTGAAGGTAGAGTCTGACAGAGGAAGAGCGTTCTTCGCATCGGGGGATGTGGACCATGACTGCAGAGCCTTGAGTGGAGCCAGAACAGCGAGAGCGCTGTTGGTATTGCTCGCGGTGTTAGTCGTTGGGGAAGGGGAAGGGGAAGACGACGAGAGAGTGGAGCTAGTTGCTTGGGTCCTGGACGTGCTCGCTTCATCGGTGCTCGTTGGGGTAGAGCCGCTGGTCGTCGAAATGGCACTCGAGGAAACCAAAGTATGTGGTTTGCATGATCGTGCGCGGATAGCGCGAGCACGGACGTGACGTTTGTGGACACCCTCCGGGGTTGGATGGGTAGAGACAGCAGATGCGATACAAAATGCCAAGAGAGCAACGAGCGATTTGTGAACGAACATCTCGATTAGCGTCTGAAGAGAAACAGAAAAGAATGACTGGTGCACTGGACACACAACGCAAACACGAGAAGGCGGAGAAGAGAGAGGCGACGGTGACGGAGGGAGACACAGAATGTGAAATGTCTCTCATTTATGCTAACCGCGAGCTCCAACCCGAAGCCAAGGCGGTGATTTTGATTGTGAGATAGATCTAATTGTTTTTCCGACCGAGAATCAATCGGAGGGGATGCTCACCACTGTACCTGGCCCATGCGCTGGGCTGCTTTCATAAGAAATAAAAGCAGAGCAGGGCCGTTAATTCATTGTCGACTTGCTGAGAAGGCTGCTTCGATTTTTGAGTACTTGGGGCGGGCGATCGGCGGGCGCATCAAAGCCTGAGTCGGCCTTCTCCGCGGATCAACAAATAAGCCACGCCCTCATCAGGCCCTCATTCTGATCCAGGGCAGACGATCTCTCCAAGTAAATCCACACAATTGATGTCATGGAACAGATATTCAGTCGCCTATCTACGCTAGTAATACACAGCCCTATGGCCAATGAAAGACATCCCTGAGATATACAAAGAAAGACTACACAAAAGAGATCGCAACCAGAAGCCCCAGCCCTCACAGTAAAGAAAAACCCAGCACGGTGGTCAAGCCCAGCCCGACCACACCAAAGCCTTGATACAATACAGTCCAGCGCAGCACCAGCTAATCAAAGCGACTCTGTGATTGCCACAGAAAAGTCCGAGAAGTAGACATATTGGTCAATGGGAGATGCCCAGCTCGAGTCTGATCCTATAAATGCATGCATTAGCTCCCAGTAAATTGCAAGAGTTGAAGAGTATATATGACTTACCTCCGAAGAAAGTCTGCATTTGCATCCCACGGATTCTGCCATCCGTACTGTTGCTGAGTACAAGACCACCAACGTTCACTACACTCTGTCCACCAATGAATAACTCCAATTCGCCATTTGACTGTCCTACGTCATTCAAACGCACTCGCTGGCTCATGGTAGTCCTGCCACCCGTGGCCCACGTAAAGGAGCCGCGTCCGACGGAAGCACCGTAGACATCGTTGCACGTGGAAAACGGCGGTACGGTGCACACCGCTTGATTCTCGGTGAAGTCTGGTGGCAAATAGGTGTAAAGCTCTCCTGCACCATTTGTACGCCACATTAGTCGAGCAGACCAGCAGCCATCGTCACGTCGCCCGCCAGAACACGAAACCGCTTCACTATCGCTGTTGCCGCCGTCTGGGAGAAAAATATTAATCGCTGATTTTATTGAGAGCTGTGGCAATATAGACATACATAGTCCCGGAAGTTTCCCTCCTTTGACAAACTGGAACCCAGATCCGAAGTACACAGTATATCCGAAAGTGGCTTCCTTTGCTGTTGTCAAGTCCACAGACGTAGGCCCGGGAGCATAGAAGGAAAATCCGCCTTGAGGTGAGTTGTCAAAGTTGTATGAACCCGCAGGATAGTATGCCTGCATGGACAGCTCCCCATCGGGGGCGTCGACATAGTCATGAGACAATGCAGTGATTTGATTATGAGGCCGGAAGGTAGCGTCGGAGAGCGGAAGAGCGCCTGAAATAGACGTAGAGGTGGTCCAATAGCTGAGCTGTGGCGAGACTGGGAATAACGGGGAAGAGATGGAAGCTAAAGTGCCGGCCGAGGCGACAGGAATAGCAGTAACGAAAGCAGGGAGATAAAGCAAACTAGCAACGATGGAGCCGAGGAAAGACATGGCGATGTGCGATGCACGTAAGTATTGAGAGAGGCTTTGCAGCATCCTTCCACGACTTTATAGCTCGGAATAGCGTGACAAAGTCAAGGCCACAGGGCCACGAGGCACCAAATTGACACCAACGGTTGATACAAGGACCATTGAGCAGATCAGATACCAGACAAAGGACCCTAAAACATTGATTATCAGGAACGAGGCATTTCCCTCCACAGATGACTCCCAAGCTAATTCTGCATTCAAGAATTACCGGAGGCACATGCTGGAGAATGGGCGAGCTATCGCAACACACGTTCCGATGGTCAGGAGTTGAACCCTAGAGAGTATGCGCCACGAGGATCCAGAATTTCCGTACTTGAAATAGAGCTAGCACGACAGAACTTTCGACTTAGTTGAGTGCGTACAGATGAAGTACTCACTGTAAAGAAGGCGTGCACCACACGCAGAGAGCGCACGCGATCCATTCGGATCTGTTAATGCACTCGGCCCCGGAGGAACTAAACAAAGGATGAAAAGCAAGATTAGGAACGTGCCGTAGAATCGACAAAGTTATCCCGGTATTCCTGGCTTGGAACCTCGGGTTAAACCGATAGTAAACAGAGCTCTCAGTAAGGCGCGCTTCCCGGTTACCTCGAGCCGGCATAGAGACGGGTGCTTTTGTGGTCCAAGCTCTTTGGTATGTTTCTTCATCAGCGTTCGTTGTGGGAAGCGTGCACGGTGGATAAAGGGGGCAGAAAGCCCGATTGGGAGAATAAGCACTGAGTATCAACGTGGGGGACAACTCAGCCTCAGATGAGAGGAAGAGCAAAGAACTCTAGGGAAGTCCTGAACAAAATTGTACCATCGGAATGCGAGAAGGCTCACTTTGGTTGATAGAACACCGTAAGTGGTGGTATTGAAGGGGTCTTGGGGTGTCAGTTGGCTCTATAATTGATACTCCTCTGAGTCTGATCCCACTCAGACTGATAACAGTGCTAACCCTCGCAGATCGGCTGCTAGTGAGTAGCTTGAA